AATGTGCACATATTTTTAATTTTACATAATAGATATGTTCCGTATTATTAGCGACAGGATTTATCTGTTAAAATTTACAGAAAAAAATGTTAATTTTATTCTACAATAGAGTGAGAGTAAATACAGATCATCAATAACATTTTTCCAAATTAATTTTATCATTAAAAATATGATTTTACACAGAACTTATTTCAAATTATTACAAAGTTTGCATTCATTTTTTATGTTGAAATATTAACATAGTATTAGTGTCACCATTTAACATATCCATATTATGTTAAATTAATACAAAAATTTGTGCAGACCGTTTGGGACATATGTGTTAAATTTAAGCCAAATTTTCAAATAGTATAGATCCCTCGAAATACATGGCATCGAAATAGCATCCGTTGTTATTACAAATAACAAATATCACCATCATTGCACTGTTGGAAGGAAAGAAAAGGGACGGTCTTTTCCCGCGGTGATCATTACCGCGTAATTCAGCGAGCGTGCAACCCGCTTCGCTGCACTTTGCAGCGCACTTTACCAACAAGCTCACGCTCGCTGCGCCTCGTATTACGCCTATCGAAAAAAAAACGAGCACTCTGCTTCCGCAAAATTCGCCGACGTTCTGTAGAAAATGGAGCGTGTTTGAAAACTGAACTTTGATGAAAAAAAAAAAAGAACACGAGATATACGCGATCTTTCTACGGCAGGTCTCTTGCGTTTTTCGCAAGATCAAAGATCAATTTCAGTATCCCTTGGTTGCGGAAAAAACGCATGATGCGTAAAAAAAAACGCTTGCTATTGTCGCAGAGATATGTCGAAATACAATGTCGAAAATTCATTAATACGATACGATATACAGCGTATATCGGCGCGTTTTAAAGAAATACGGATGCGTCAATTTTCGAAAGCCGATGACGAGAACTTATTCGTGACACATCGCCGAAATCGATGGATTCGTTCGTGCGGTTCGGAACAAAAAGATTTTAACTCGGCTCCTGATAAGAGCGAAAGTAGATACACGATAATATATCGATAGCGGGATAAATACTTAATTATCGGCCAAAGAGAGGGGGCACTTCCTTTCCTTTGTACAGCTTTGTGTTCGGGAATAAACGCGAGACGGAGCAAGAACAACGCTTTCGATTCGCGCATAAATTTATGTAGCGCAAGAAAATTTGATGGCGTAATATGCGGTAGAAAATTCCGATGCGATGCACATCGAAGAGCCTTTCCATTCCCTCCATGCAAATGATTGGTTTCTAATGATCCTTTATTAAAATAATTTTCTGAGATACTTTCGCGCCACAATAAATGAGAAACTAATCGTTTTTTTCATTATCGTGTTCTTTTTTCCGAAAATCATTAAAGGTGATTCCCGAAATGCGTTAAAAAAAGATAATTTTAGCATACCATTAATGAACACATTTAGATACGACGAGTTTCTTCGCAAAAGTGCTTTATTTTATCGGTTCGAATCACATATTTCCCGTTGACCTTCCACGCGATAAAATATCACGAAGTAAATTTCGATCGTAGAAATCACGAAGCGCGTGATTAAACCGTAATTAACCCATTATCTTCTAAATTGCCTCGTGTTTCAAGGATATTTTGCCTATTGTTAATGGGTTTTACGATGTTTAGGTATCTGAGAGATAAGCATTTTGTCTATCTTATTGTTAGCTGTACTAATGACTACTTGACGTTGTCCATCAAAATCACGAAGTTTCGAAATATTCAATCATATACCTAACGAAATCAATTGTATTACAATCCCAACAATTTTAAGAGACTATCACACAGAATTTATACAAATATGTTAAGCAAGTAGCATTCGATGAGAAAAGCACAGACGAAAATGGAAAGAGAGTCAAAGGATAAAATTATATAAATGATTTTGCAAGAAGATCAAAGACGCATACGCGTTTTATATTGAATTATTGCACTACAGTTCTGTATCTTCCTTTTTTTCTTCTTTTTATTCTTTTTTTTCAAACAAAGATGGTACAGAATTCGCTCGAACATGTGGAAACGTATTTTTCGAAAATAAATTCACTGCGTGACCGTTTCCATGATTTTCAAGCAGGTAGGAGAATTTGCGGGTGAAATAGAAATGATTGTTCAGGTAAATAAAATGCTGAATGAAAAGATTAGACGAAGAAAGGCGTCTTTCTTCGAGATCTCAAGGACATCTTTGTATGAGAATGCAGGAGGCAAAAAAAAAAGGAAATTGTAGATAGAAAAAGTAGAAAAATACTTCGAGAAAAATTTGGTTAAAAATAGTTCGAAAATAATGCAAAGAATCAAAACTAAAATATAATGAAAGTGCTTTTTCCAAATATAATTATAAATTATTTCCGTTCCTATTAACGAGACCCACCAAGACGAGCCTATACAAAATGTAGTACATTTCACGAATTTAACATTAATCACACATGTTCTAATGATAAAGTTAAAATAAACCTTTTTTCTTGAAAAAGAAAAACATACGACGCGAAGCATCTACATTTTTTCACATTTCCGATTAATTCTCTTTAGACTTGTACAAATAAAATAAGTAATTTTACAACTAATTTTATAATGATATCAAACACAGTAAAAACTGAAAAAGTTATGAATATGACAAAAACTATGCAACTTTTATTCCTCTATTTAATACGGTTCTACTATCTCTCTAAATCTTTAAGATAGAATATAATTTTTTACAATACATAAAAGAAATAATATCTTTCTCAAATGCCGTTTGTGCAAATCAAGAATTTAACACTATATTTTAATATTCAAACTCTGTATTTGAATAATAAAAAACAGAAGAAAAGAAAATTTTTAAGAAATATTGAAGAAAATTAGTCTAATTGTGAGCCACATTGGCAGGTTCATTGAAGTTCAAAGAATGGAAGGAAGCGAGCGACGACGGAGTTTCCCACGACAGGTGACACGTGATGATCCCGGCAGTTACGGTGGCGCAGGTGGAGCAGGTTGGGAAGCTAACTAAGATGCATGGTGGGAGGCCGACGCATCTTCTTCAGAAGGATCGGAAAGATGTGAAAGAGCATATTCCAGGAACGAATCTAAGGGCCCATGTAACAGCGCCTTGAAACAGCGATTGTCATTACTTATAACGATAATTGTGTTACGAGAGATACAGCATATATAGGCTGTTTCCAATTTTACGAGCTTAATTTTTCTTTTTTAAGAAAAATATAATCGATAATTTTCGAGATATAAATAAAATGTTTGCAAAAGAGACGTATATTTATGAGTTAATAGCAAATATACATAACAGAAATTAATTTTAGATAAACCAACATTAAAAGAATTTTAATTTTTAAAAATTTTCAGTTAACAAAAAAGATTTGCAATGTTGAAAGTTGAATATTCGCGATGAGTAATGATTTTCATCCATATTTTCTCTAAAGTAAAATCGTTGAAGTTGTTCAAAGAGAGAGACAGAGAAAGAACATGATATTTCTTATTTTATTATAAATTACACATCTTTACAGAAATTGTTTTTCGTATACACAGATCTGATTCTAAAGAAACTTTCGTCTATTCGACATAAAACATAAAAATAAAATATGTACCATATTTTTTCTTTAAAAATCCTAAAAAATTCTGTGTTAATAATGATGTCTTTTATATGTATCCGAATATATTAATTAGTACATTCGCATCAACTGTGTTCAATGTTGAGCACCATGATGCGTGTATTCAGTTTCGAAGGCAAGAGATGTTAACAGCAACGAAGAGAAGCTTAACGGATGAACCGAGAGAACGCATCTTTCTTCCCTCGCCGCCCATGATGAGAAGTGATGGGGACACGGAGGGGCAACGAGTAAGGAGAAATAGAGAGAAGACGAGTAAGTAAAGTCTCCGCGATAAAGACGGTGTCGGCCTTGAGGTATGCGGGACTTCTATGCAGTGAAAATTACCGACGGCGATGAGTCGCAAAACTACCGTTCTTTAATGAACCATAGCGACGCGTATAGCGTGAAATGTCCGCTCAATTTTAGAAAAACAAAACTGTTCTACTGTGCTCTGATCGTACACAGAAACATTTTGTATTTCAGGTCTTTTAAGATTATTTCGTTCAAATAGATTGATCCGATAAGAGGTTCGATTAGATGATTACACTACTTTTAGATGTTGTTTCCATAGCTTTAAAATTCAGATTTTTTTAAATATAATGTATGTTTACGATTTATACATATATAAAAATAAGCTCTTTACGTATCGTTAAAACTACAGCCCCAATGAATACTAATATTTTCGTGCGTATAACAAAAAAATCTTATTCTCCATCTCGTGTAACGAAAAAGTTCATGTCTGTTTATGAAAATCAGTCCTGCAGTTAAAGAAAGGATGTTTACAACTACAGCTTTCAAGATATTCTTAAAAGTCCTACTGCAAGTATATAGCATTATGACATTAGAAATGAGAAATCGTGTGAATTTTTCTCTTGCAAAATACATCGAAATAAATTAGTTTTTTTGTATAGTACCGTTTGGTCAATAGCATAGATCAATAAAATATGTCAAAAACTTCCTATTTTATTATTCCACGTTAGGAAATGTACATATAACTCAATCTGTATGTATTCTATATTTATAGCATTTGTAAAGTAGACTTTATATAAATGCGAATGATAACATATAACACAATTAACTTATTTCAATGTATAATGCAAGAAAAACGTACACATTCCCCGCTTCGATTTCTCGCTTCTAATGCCATAATATGACATTATCATTTATATATAACTCAACTGCAGTGAGGGAATAGAAATCTGAAAACGAAATCATGTATATGTTATCGTTTGAAAGAAGAAACGAAATAAAAGAAAAGAATATACATTTAAAAGTACTGATTTTCATAAAATACGTGATTTCAATATAAAATTACCCTCCTTCGGGGGTGAGAGAAAAAGAAGAGAGTACGATCTGAGATCGTAGCGCACCTTCCTCTCCCGAATCGCGTGAAATCGCGAAAAAAAGCAGCGTGGAGTTACTCACTTGAGGAAGTAGATCTGGCCCTCGGAGGTGCGTGCTTGCTCCCATCCGTGCGGCAGTGGGCCCAGGTCGTCGACCGTGCTGATGACGTCGTAGCTGCGCTGCTTCTGATGATGATGGTGACGCGCGTGCGGCTGCGGCGCGTGTTGAGACGCTTGTTGCGCCGAGGCGTACGTCTGTTGCAGGGAGGCCGGGCTGCTGTGAGCGCGGGGATGGGCGACGGTGAGACCGGCGGCTGCGGCGGCCGCGGCTACAGCGGCGGCTGCTGCTACCGCACCTGCGGCGCTATTTACACCTCCGCCGCCTGCACTTGTGGCGGTACCGCCGCCGGCACTTGTAGCGGTACCGCCGGCGCTTCCGCTTCCGTTGGCACTTACGTTAGGCGCGCCGCCGGCGCTCGGTGTCGCGGTCACGGCGGTACCGAACGCGGAATCCGCGGAGTTCTCGCGCGAGTGCGAGATCGAGGGACTCTTGCTGCCGGTGGACGGCGGATTGAAGAAGGAATCCGGCAGATTGCGCATGCGCAACGGCACCTGTAGCGGCCGTTTGGAGTCGGGTTTGAGGACGGTGTCGAATAGCGCCTGTAGATCGGACTCGGAATTCTGGTCGACCCTGACGACGAGATTACTCTTGGACAACTGGTCCACGTCTTGGTTGAGCGCCATTTTGGATCAAATCACACGTTCGCACGCGCGCCTTCTCTTCCTCTCTGCTTATAGTGATCTGCGTCCTTGTCTCTCCTCCCTCGTCCTCGTATCGGCGCGTCCTCGTCGCTCTTTTTGCGTCTATCCGTTCTCCGCTTCCAACGCTCCGACTTCGCTATTCCCGATCGCGGTTGCCTCTTTCACGGCGCGTACCTATATTGCGTATCCGTGTACGTAGCGACGTAGCAGGCCTCTCTCTCGTTCTCGTTTTCTCTCACCTTCCCTTTCTCTCCTACGATCGTCTCATTCCCACGGGACGACGCCGATGGCTCGTTCTCGCTTCCACCTGTACGCCTCGCCGCGGCGGAATAAAACAATCGGGATAAGCGCCGTCGTCGCCGTCACCGCTGCTGGATACCAGCAGCGTTCCCCACGATACCAATGGGGATAATCCCTCGCCGCCCTCCTCCCCGCTGGCTACCTCTTCTCTCGCCGCTCAATCGCGCTTCCCGATCTCCGTGTGTTACGGGTGGCCTACACCAATTGAGACTGCGGGACTTGCTCTCCTCGTCGTCTCTCCCACCTCTCCGACGTATCGGCTCGCCCTACCTGCGTAGACTCGTGACGAGCGCGAGAGCACAGGATACACGACCTGAGAAAAAAGAGAAAGAGAGATGGAGAGGAGGGGAAGAGTGCTCTCTCGAGTGCTCCAAAGATTCCGTCTTGCATTCACCAGCGACACCCGCTAGCACTTGGACGATAACGCGTGTCGGTGATATATTCGTCAAGACAAGGACGTCCGGGAAGCCTCCCCGAAACGCCGTGGGGCGTACATTCGAGAGAAAGATAGAAGGAAGTCACTCACGTCGTCTCCGTTTCCTCGAATATGTCACTACGGCGATAACAATGACGATGACGACATCAGCGACGAAGACGATGACGGCACGATAAGTTGACGAAATGATACGGTGGATTCCGCGGCATCGCGCGGATACAATCACGATCGCGATTGTTCCTGGCTCCGCGTGACGACCGGATGGCGAGAGTCGGACATTAAAGCACTTTGAGGCGAGGAAGTCGCCCTCGCATCAAGATGCGGCACGGCGATGGAGGAGTGCTGCGATGCGACGACAGGAAGAAAGGAGAGTCACTATCCTCTTCTCGAGTCGTGGCACCGACTCCTCAATCTTGCCGTCCAGTCTTCTTGAATGATGACTGACGAAGACTGTTGCTTCGGCTCCGCCGAACACCGTCGCGCCGTCGCGTTACGTTGACTCTACTGAGCAAGACGAAGATCTGGCAACCTGCGACGCGTTAATGATGCACAGCTCTGGCAACTACGCTCCCAGCAGCGGATCACCAATCGGGAAAAAGTTCTTGATGATGCGCGGTGTCAGATCTCGCCCCAAAGCGCCGAGCCAAGCCGCCGTGTGTCAGCCTGTTGCTTCAACCTATCTATCTACTGGCTCCGAAGTAGGCGTCGTTGACGATACCAGCGGGGGGTGGGAGAGGGGTAAAGAAAAGGCGCACGGAAAAATGGCTAGGCGCGTACTCAACGCGCGTCGATGCTTCTCGAAGTAGTTTTCCTTAGGAGCGTTTTAGCTTATTTATGAACCCTAGCCTTCCTCCTGAATCACAATTGTGCGCGTGCTGAAAAGTTTGAAATAAATTCAATATTATACAAAAGAATATCGTTATACAATAATATACTACTATTAATAATGTAGTAATTATTATTAGTATTTTATTACTAATATTATTTACATATAAATATTATTATTTATGATATATACAATATAATAGATATAATATCTACGCAATTTATGAATTTTACTTTTGCTAACAAGAGGCTTTTCGCTTTAGCAAGAAAAAAACTTGAAATACACGAAGACGATTCCGATGATTCGATTCCGGATATACAGAAATCGGCGATAACTTAACTCGAGATTGACATATAATAACGAACGATATGATACATAAATATCTGAGATTTTATAATAAATATTTATGATAAGTTTGCACGCAAAAAACTTTCGAAACAATTCAAATATAACTACTATACACATCTATGGAAGAACACTTACCGTGATTATACTGCGAAGTACGAATAAACGATACTCAATCGCAAATATTGTATCAAAATTTGAAAAATTTAACAGATGTTAAAACTCTCTTTTTCTTTGGACTACAGGAAATTAATTTCGATAATGCATTTAATATCTTGATGGTTATGAACACAAATAGCAAATGATCAGAATGGAATAGCATAGAGATAATATTCACAGCATGGATATAGCAAAGAACATAGTATTTCACATAATGTTCATTCGAGTGCGTTCATCTTGGCGCTACAAGCGCTGGAAATATTTGATTGACCAATCGGGGTACAGAGTCCTTTGTTCTGATTGGCTACGAAGCGTAACGAACTTCTAATTGGTCAATCAATCGAATCATTTGTAAAGCCAATTTTCCAGTCATTTGTAAAAATTGCGATGCCCAACTTATCTACATATATATATATATATCTATGGCATAGCCGAGGCGAGGAAGTCGCCCTCGCATCAAGATGCGGCACGGCGATGGAGGAGTGCTGCGATGCGACGACAGGAAGAAAGGAGAGTCACTATCCTCTTCTCGAGTCGTGGCACCGACTCCTCAATCTTGCCGTCCAGTCTTCTTGAATGATGACTGACGAAGACTGTTGCTTCGGCTCCGCCGAACACCGTCGCGCCGTCGCGTTACGTTGACTCTACTGAGCAAGACGAAGATCTGGCAACCTGCGACGCGTTAATGATGCACAGCTCTGGCAACTACGCTCCCAGCAGCGGATCACCAATCGGGAAAAAGTTCTTGATGATGCGCGGTGTCAGATCTCGCCCCAAAGCGCCGAGCCAAGCCGCCGTGTGTCAGCCTGTTGCTTCAACCTATCTATCTACTGGCTCCGAAGTAGGCGTCGTTGGCGATACCAGCGGGGGGTGGGAGAGGGGTAAAGAAAAGGCGCACGGAAAAATGGCTAGGCGCGTACTCAACGCGCGTCGATGCTTCTCGAAGTAGTTTTCCTTAGGAGCGTTTTAGCTTATTTATGAACCCTAGCCTTCCTCCTGAATCACAATTGTGCGCGTGCTGAAAAGTTTGAAATAAATTCAATATTATACAAAAGAATATCGTTATACAATAATATACTACTATTAATAATGTAGTAATTATTATTAGTATTTTATTACTAATATTATTTACATATAAATATTATTATTTATGATATATACAATATAATAGATATAATATCTACGCAATTTATGAATTTTACTTTTGCTAACAAGAGGCTTTTCGCTTTAGCAAGAAAAAAACTTGAAATACACGAAGACGATTCCGATGATTCGATTCCGGATATACAGAAATCGGCGATAACTTAACTCGAGATTGACATATAATAACGAACGATATGATACATAAATATCTGAGATTTTATAATAAATATTTATGATAAGTTTGCACGCAAAAAACTTTCGAAACAATTCAAATATAACTACTATACACATCTATGGAAGAACACTTACCGTGATTATACTGCGAAGTACGAATAAACGATACTCAATCGCAAATATTGTATCAAAATTTGAAAAATTTAACAGATGTTAAAACTCTCTTTTTCTTTGGACTACAGGAAATTAATTTCGATAATGCATTTAATATCTTGATGGTTATGAACACAAATAGCAAATGATCAGAATGGAATAGCATAGAGATAATATTCACAGCATGGATATAGCAAAGAACATAGTATTTCACATAATGTTCATTCGAGTGCGTTCATCTTGGCGCTACAAGCGCTGGAAATATTTGATTGACCAATCGGGGTACAGAGTCCTTTGTTCTGATTGGCTACGAAGCGTAACGAACTTCTAATTGGTCAATCAATCGAATCATTTGTAAAGCCAATTTTCCAGTCATTTGTAAAAATTGCGATGCCCAACTTATCTACATATATATATATATATCTATGGCATAGCCGATAAATTCGAATATTCGAAACAGTTAGTAAATATCAGTAAATAAGTAAATGTAATATCGTGGTGCTGCGTTCCATTCGGAGAAATCCGTATAATTGTAATATATATATATATATATCTATGGCATAGCCGATAAATTCGAATATTCGAAACAGTTAGTAAATATCAGTAAATAAGTAAATGTAATATCGTGGTGCTGCGTTCCATTCGGAGAAATCCGTATAAAAAAATAATTGTAATACTGCGTCTCACTTGGACGGAAATTCATTCTAGAAGAAGAGGAAATATATCGCGAGATGTCCAAGTTGCCGGATTTGTACGGCGAGAATGCGAATGATACAAAGATCGAGGATTATCTGGAGGAGAGTTTGATTCAAGATAATTACAAAAAACTAAAACATGAGTATGAATGTTATCGGCAGGAGTTGCACGTTTTACGACTCAAGCTGGAAGCCAGCGAAGCACTGAATAAAGAGCTCCAAGAAACAAATGAGACTTTGGAGCAATCGGTTGGCCAATATAAAATGAAAACGGACAAAATGTTTGCCGAGAGGAAAGAAAAGTACAAAAAATATAGTTGTTCTATTAATAATTAATTAATGACTAACTGACTTAATTAATTTCTAATATATAAATGCATACATGTTTATTTATTTTTTTTTTTTTTTTGTTTACTTTTATATTTATATTACTTCTTTAAGATTTATTTTAATGAAATTTTAATCATGTCAACACTGTGATGATAGTAAAGTTATGTAGTATTTTTTTTTGTGTTTTAGATATAGAGCTGAGAGAGAAGAATATCAAAATTATATTGCAGATTTAGAAACAAAAACTACACAAACTATGCAAGAGATTACAGATTTACGTGAGGAATTAAAAAGATATAAGGATATAAATAAACAACCACATTTTTCTATTTGTACGGATGATACTGTAACGATATATAAGGAAAAAAACAAAGAGCTGGCTACACTTTTTAAGAATGAGAAAGAAAATGGAGAACAATTAGAGGAGAAACTTGCAAATATGGAGATTCAATGTCAAGAACTTGAAAATCTCTTGAAAGTAAAATAATATAAATATGACTTTTTAATTTCTTAATTATGATGTAAAAAACTCTTATTAGAAATATCTTTTAATAGATAAAATCAGGACAATTAGTGGAAAAAAATGAAGCGTTAGAAAACATACGGGAGGAATTAGCTATTAATCGTATGGAATTGGAATCATTAAAAGTAACTCCTACTAGTGATACATGTAAAGGTAAAGTATGATACTAAATCTCTAATATATAATCGTTTATAAATTTTTTTCAGAATTGATATTCTGTTTAAGGCAATTCTTTATTCGCCGAAGTTGAAGATCGTCGACAAATGTTATTGGATCAAATGAAAGAACTCCAGACTAAGTACAAGGAAGCAAAACGAGCGTTAAATACGAAAACGAAGGAAACCCAGCTATTGACAGCAGAGAAAATTGTCTTGATCAGAAAATGGGAAACTGATGTAATTGATACACAACAGGAAAATGCAGATCTTCTGCAAAAATACAAAAGCAGAATCTTTGATCTTGAGAATAAGTTGAAAATTGAAATAGAAAGAAACAATCAAGTGGAAAAAATACAATCTATAGATGACAGTTTCAAGTAAGCCAAAAACAGTTTTATTTGGTTGAATTATTTCTATTTGGTGTTTATAAAAATTATACATACGTTTTGACTTTTAGTTACGCTCAATCATTGGTGGCTAAAACGAAAAAGGAGTTAAAAGAATTGAATGAAAAAATGGAAAAACAAATTATGCAAATGTTAATACAAGAAGAAGCAAATCACAATATCTCAAAGCAGCTTCGTTACTGGCGATCTAAAGCAATGTCTATGGAGGTAAGTAACCATTTCTGTAAAAAAAAATTATTTTTCGCTCAGAGACTTTTTATACAAATTATATATCTTTTAGGTTCAAATTTTGGCTATAAAAACGCAATTAGAATCAGAACAGACAAATAACAATGATAATAAAAATATATTAGAAGTTCTTGAAAATTTTAATGTTAGTATTGCTAATGCTGATTTTGAAAAAATCGGTGATGATTTAAAAATTATATCTAATAATCTCACGCCGGCGAATACTATATGTCAACAAAATTTAAGGGTGTCAGAAAAACCAATGGTAGATGAATGTGTAAATGATCAGAAAGAATTTAGCAAAAAGATCGTACATTTTGCTACAGATATCAAGGATACTGAAAATAAACCTTTGAAAAAACAATCAAAACAGCATGATAAATATCCTATTATAGTTATTAATGAGGACTCTTTTTCCCTTATGGAGAGAGAATAATCATTTATTACAATATTTTATAATATATTGTTTTTTGTCGAATAATTCGATATTGAAAAAGAGTAAAACCATCAAAATTGTTAATAGAAGAAAGAGTAGATGTATTTTTTTAAGTATTTTAAAATGTATGTTTTTAAATTTAATAAAACAATTTATTTTCTATTCTTTTTTAAATTGTATTTTTTTATGTTATACCTTATATTTCTTAAAAATATATAAATTATATTCCTTAAATGGAATTTTTTTTTCTGTATATATATATAGTTCTCATATTATTTTGTTAGAGAATTTTTCGAGATAATTTTTACGATTAGATTTTGAGATTTTTGTCAGAATAATTTTTCTAATATTTTAATTCATTTTAAAATAAAACTTACAAATTTATAAACCTATACTCTCGATAACAAGAAGATATAATTTAAGTATATTATATCAATATTAGTCATCGTTAGTTGATCAACAGAAAATGAGATAAATGAAAACAATCAGCCAACAGAAGCTTCATGTTTTTAAAGATTTAATTTTAAATTCACATAATTGGCATATTTATAATACAAAATTCGTTTCTAGTGATTTTAGGATGGACAGACGTCCTTAAGAAGGCTTTTCGGTCGCGATCCAATGATCGTTTTTGCATCATTGGCCAACAAGATATCGAATATTACTAATTGGCTAACAATTATTGTAGAACAGCAGCGTTTGCGGCTATACTGGGATTATTGATAACTTCCCCCAGACTCTCGAGCAATTCTTTCCTGTAATCGTCGAAGTCGCCGTCCGTAGCATTGATCTGCTGATTCTCGATTACATAGAGGCAGCATTCTGTATCTCGAATAAGCCGTTCGTCGTGCGAGACGATAATGACGCCACCTTTATATTCGTTTATAGCTTCGGCTAGTGCGTCAATGGATTCTATGTCGAGATTATTAGTCGGTTCGTCTAAGATCAACACGTCTGGCGCGTTTAGACAAAGTTCAGCCATCGCGACGCGTGCTTTTTGGCCGCCCGATAGATCTTTCATCTTGATCGTGTGCGCGTGAGAGCTGAGACCAAAAGTGCCTAGTTGTTTCCGCGCTTTTTCGTACGGGAGATCGAACAGTCGCATCAAGTACTCCGCCGGCGTTTCCTCAGCGGTCAGATGCTCACCAGAGTGCTGATCAAACCTTCCTATCCTCTGCAAAGAGTAAACTTATTTAGAATAATTCGTAACAAAAATACCGAGATATAAAAATAAATATTCCTTGCTTTGCATTAAAAAGTTGAGTTTGTCAAATGGGAAAAAGAGTGATTTATTATTTAATTCGTACGATTTTACACTTACCAATCGATGATTCTTTGTGTTTTCTCCCTTTTGAGGTGTTATGTCGCCCATTAGTAATTTTAAGAAGGTAGACTTGCCAACACCGTTAGGGCCTACTATAGCTACCCGAGAATTTAAGTCTATGCCGAAATCTGCGTCGATGAACAGATGTTTCTGTCCTTCGTATGCAAAAGTTACACCTGAAAGATAAAATTAATATTTCAATAGTTCAATTTAAATTTTTAAACAAAGTTTTTGTTCTCTCTCTATTTCTCTTTTTCTTTTATGTGTGAGCAAACTTTTTCTTATTAATTTATTACAAATATAATTTAATGATAATTATGAATACAGAAGAGTTAATTACATACTTTGAAGACCAAGAATTGGAGGTTGAAGTGGTGGTGGGTCTGGAAAACTGAATTTTACTATATATTCCCTTGGTTTCTGTAACAATTCCGTAGGTCCACTGTCCTCTTCCTGCTTCTGCATTTTCGTCCTGTTCTTCTCTTGCTTCCTGGTGAGAGCTTCCTTTTGCTTCTTCTCAGCTTGCTTCTTGCTCTGACCGGATGCCTTAAGATCTTTCAACCGCTTCTCCTGCTTCTCGTATGCTTTTATCATCTCTTTTCTCTTCTGTACATACATCTTTTTAAACATGCTATAATTTCCCTTGTAATAGAACAACTTTTGCTGGTCTAAGTGTATTACGTCCGTGCACACATTGTCCAAAAAGCTCTGGTCGTGTGATACAACAAGTAAGGTCTTTTTCCAGCCCTGCAAATAATTATCCAGCCAGATTACTGCGTTCAGATCTAAGTGATTTGTAGGTTCGTCTAGCAACAATAATGTGGGTTCCAAGAAGAGTGCTCTTGCGAGCGAGACGCGCATTCGCCAGCCACCAGAGAAATTCTTTGTCGCACGATCTTGCATAGCACGATTGAATCCCAGACCAGCGAGGATCCGTCTGGCTCGTGGCTCTGCTGAATCTGCACCAATGGCTTTCAACTCCTCATAAACCTGAAAATATAATTTGTATTTTATATATATATATATACATCTATAATTTATTTATTTATTTATTTCCACAGTTGTACAGTTTACTTAAAAGAAACATGGAATCCAACATAGAAAAAAAACTGATAGATAATAAAGTGACAAATTACTATTTCCTAAACCTTCTGGTTACTTTTTAACATTCAAGATTTATAAAAATAAATGATAGCGACCTCCTGCAATCTACTTTGCACAGTAGTATCCCCTTGCTCTGTCAATTCCTCCAGTTTTTTGCACTCAGCCTGAAGCATTGTACACTTTGCATCAGCTTTCAGAACTACCTCTACAGCCGGAGTATCGTCCGCTATAACTTCTTGCTCGCAATATAGAACATCTATGGTGCTTGGAATATTGAAGGCTCTCTTGGCTATATGGCGGAGCAAGGTAGTTTTGCCATGACTGTAATAAAATTATATGTCAAAAATGGTATAATTTTTATAAGGAACAAGTACTATATAAGATAATATTGCGATAATATATTACATTTAATCCAGTATTCATTAATATATATACATATATATATACACATACATAAATATATGTTTAAAATGTTACAATATATTTATAAAATATTTAAATCGTCATTTTAGAGATCTTTCAAGAACTTGATCTTCTGAGCCTAAACTTGCATATAAATATCTTAAACAGTAAAAAGAAAGGAAAAGTAATGTACCCGTTAGGTCCCACCAGGCCGTAACGTCTGCCCTGCGCTATGAGAAGACTAGCATTGGTGAAGAGCTCTTTGCCCTTGGCTGCTATGCTGAAATTCTCCACCTTAATGTCGACCGCGTGGTCCAGCTGCTGATTGCCACGCTGCTGTGTCTCGCTCTGCGAGACCGTGAAGTTTGACTCCAGTTCACTATGACCCTGGCCGCCAGCCTTCGTCATCATCTCCACCGTCCGTTCATACTCCTGCTGCTTTTTCAGCTTCTTCTTCTCCTTGTGCGTAAGCTTCTTGCTCGGCGTGTCCTCGTTGAGTTCCACGTCCGCGATCTTCTTCGCGACATCGTCGGCCGCCCCATTTTCGATCGCGTCATTGTTCTTATTCTTGTTCCTGGTCTTGCTCGACATCGCTTGTTGATGACGCCTATTCTTGCACACTGTAACGTGCCCCAGTTGGTCACACGCCTAATCTAACCTCACTTTTTCGGCATGCACAGCACGTCGAAAAAGGCAAGGGCAAGAGAGCTGATGTGACGTCATACGTCATCTAACGTAAATCCAACATAGATAAAGCAATATCGAAGAAGGCCAAACGTACATAAATTTTTTTAAATTAAAAATTATGGGATCTATCTGTTTTTTTTTTAATTAAAATTTTTTTCAATTGAGTTTATTAGAAACAAAATTCCCCCCTCTTTAATTTTTCAGTGTTGATTATCACAGATTGGCTTGCAATTTGCAATATATAACTCTTTGATATGATGTTTTCATATAATTAGTGCTTCTCTCTTGTATGTTTATAATCTTAGGGGAATCATCGTTTTTCTTGTTCTAGATACTTTGGCCGTGTTCCAGAATTCATTGCTAGTATTGGAAATCTATAATATACGTAACATGAACTATAGAGTTTTTCAGTACTGCAGTGAATTTTGGAACACGGTCTTTATTGATATCGTGTTTGCCGTGCATGCCTGCATGCGCGAAAAACCCGACTCGATCATCTGATCAACAGACCAGACTGGATGTATGATGTGCGATGTAGAATGTGCAATTGATTCTAAAAATTGTAATATTGTTATTTATTTTAATAAGAATGATATTAGAATAGTAATAGTAGTGATAGTAATAACATAAATCAACGATGCAATTTTTTTCTATATAAAAAGGCATGTCTCCCCAAAGTAGATTCGATGGCCCTTAATGCATATTGCCTCATATGTTTTTGTTAACAAGAATAACCCTTTCTTTGTCCAGGCAAGTCTGTTTTATATTTCACATTATTTATTTTGTCTTGTTCACATTGCATTCCTCATTAACAGTTAATTATTGCAATGCTTATTGTCTTCTCCTATTTAATGCAAGGTGTAATTAAATTTTGTAACATAATTCTGAGTTTTCAATATATATTCCTCAAGAAAAAGGAGAAAATAAATGTTTAAAAAATTTTGAATACCATTTTCTTTTTAGAAATTGATAACAAATATATTTGCCAGAAATTTCTGCACGTATGAATCATCTATATTTAAATCCTATATTTTTACTTTTTTGTTCTTTTTTAATTGTTATAAAGATTATAAATGTTGAATACTTTACAATTTGATCTGCGATTTATATTTTGGATGCTTAATAACTCAAATACTGAATAATAGAGTAGACGTATGATTTTAATTATAAAATTAGATTTAGATACTCTATAGTTTCACTCATAATTACAGAGTGCTGAGAATGGCGCAAGATGATGCGAATAAGTTGACAAGAGAAGATTTTGATGCTGGTCCATGCAGTTTCGATGAGATTGAGCCAGGCCTCTTTCTGGGTAATCTCACAGCTGCAACGGATGTGAACTGGATGAAGGAAGTTGAAATGACTCATATACTGACAATAGATTCCTGTCCGTTGCCAAGGAAGATCCAGGAATGTCTCCCCAATTTAATCATTAAGTATATTCAGGTGACAGATATGCCGCGAGAAGATCTTTTAACGCATTTTGAGGACTCCTACGAGTTCATCGACCGTGCTCTCGAGTGCAATGGCAGGGTACTGGTGCACTGTTACTTCGGCGTGTCGCGATCCGCTTCCATAGTGATCGCATACATTATGAAGAAGCGCGAGTTGAGCTTTGCGGACGCATTCCAGATGGTCAAGTCGAAACGACGATTCGTCGCGCCGAATCCTGGCTTCATGGCGCAGTTGCAACTTTACGAGGATATGGGCTATGGCGTGGATAGCACCAATGTGCAATTCAAGATGTACAGATTACAGATTGCCGCCGACAAGGTGCGCAAGGCACGCATTCTTCCTCAGAGCTGCATTGATTTAGTGAAACCAGATCCCGCACTGACAACCGTGCGTCCCGAGCCGACAGTTTATCGTTGCAAGAAATGTCGCCGTATCGTAGCAAGCGCTAGCAATATTCTACCCCATGCACCACACGAGAAACAGATCTGGCGGCACATCAGCGTTAAAAGTCCAAAGGATGTCGAGAACTGTGATAAACTAGTGCTGAAAAAAGAAGAACCGACGCGCGTCGAGCTATGCGACAAAATCTATTTTGTGGAACCTCTGGCTTGGATGCCCAACATCACACATACTGTTGAAGGCAAATTGAATTGTCCTAAATGTAACACGAAACTCGGCGCATACAGCTGGATCTCTGGCAGCCAGTGTCCTTGCGGTAGCAAGATCGCGCCGGCTTTCTATTTGGTGCCCTCCAAGCTCGACTGGAGCAATATTGTGCAGAACGTGCAAGTAACGGTATAGTATTGAGAAATATATATAAAAATGTTGGAAATAATCGATCTTGGACTATTTGGATACTCGATGAAATTGTTCCAAAGGTTTTAAAGTTCTTAAGTATTTTTTCTAATACTTACTATGGCAATACGTATTGCTGAAGAATGTCCTGAAGATATCGAATAGACAGTTAAAAAACGTAATTTTTTAAATGCTTTATATAGATATCTTTTCGACGTTTTTTGAGTGATGTTTTTATTAAATTGTGACGTTACATAGTCCAAGATAGTCGAAATAGATATTGCAAATATTTAATTTCCAGCAAGTGTACTATAAATTTGGTTAGGTTTTAGAATCTAAATTTAAATTATTCCATAAAGAAGTATTAGAAAATTTATGAATAATTTTAATCATGTATTACTCTCTTTTTATGTGTATATAATACTTTATATTATCTATATTTTATCTTTAATTATACCAAAGTTTTAATTCCGTTAAAAAGATCTGTATACTTGCTGAGGGTTGAGAATAATGAATTTTTTTATTAAGACAGATGCGACCAATATACGCCGGCTGACTGTATTCTAATCCTGTGCCAATATATTTCGATATGTGTACATATATACATGTATTTGTTATACATATATATCTGTATGGTGTTGTACTTTTTTTTTTTATTATATATATAAGAAAACATACCTGAAAAAAGTTCTTCAATCTCAATGTTTTTATTGCACGACAGTGTCTTTGTCTATACCGTCTACATATCTAATAAGGCCGTAACTTTGTGTAGAATAACGTTCTACTGTATTTATGATTAATAATTATGATATCAATATATACTTTCTCGTAACTTAACATGCTATTCTATCGACGGGAAAAAGATGACTTATTTATTCGTTACCCTGTGTGTTCAAAACTTACAGTTTAAACTTAATCTAACCATTATCTAATGATTATCATTGGTTAAGGCATACGATGAACGTTTTTATAGCGATAATCTGCAGAACATTTGCATTATCACCTTTGCACATAAAATCCCGATACTGTGCGAGACGTTTAGCATCCTTGGAGTCCCAACATCTCAGGTCGCGATCTTAAATTTATTTTTGACAGTCAAATTTTATCTTTGGTTTCGACAACATCTGGGATGAATGGTTCCTCACATCGCGTCTCCAGAATGAGATTATGTTAAGCGCAATTCAAATGTACTACACATTCCCATTCCGCAGATTCGATACCTGCGAACGATATCACATACTCGCGTGCATCGCCGGATACGTCGAGCCATAGGGATGTGCTCGCAGTCTCAGAGCGTTCAGGCTGTTCACGGTGGGTCCGTCGAGGGGCCCGTGGTGGATGTCGGTCTGGTGATGATGATGGTGATGATGGTGATGGTACGGCGGCAGACTCACGTTCGCCAGGCCGCCGTTCGCGGCGAAGCCGTGACAGCCGGCGGTTTGCATCGCGTAATGCTGCGGCGTCGTTCTCCAATAATCGCCGTAAGAATATTGGGCCGTTACCTGGGTGGTCGCGTTCTGCGATGATTCCGTATTGTTTTCCGCATTGTGCTGCGAGGTATGCGACACCCTGATGGGACGCAGCGGTAACGCGGCTTCCATCTCTCTACCCGCGGAGACGCCGCGGTTCATCGCCGAGCTCCGCTCGTTTCGCCGAAACTTTGCTCGCCTATTCTGGAACCATACCTACGCAGAAGAAAAAAAAACTCTTGGTGTTCTTGCTGTCGATTTTATTGTTGAATTTTGGGGATGAAATATTCTGTGATTTTGATAAAAATAGAAATTGTGATGAAACAGCATAGATAGAATGATCATGTATCTTTGTCTCTAGCCAGAATAATAGATATTTTGACGGAAAAATAAAAATTGGAGTCTCTAATACCCAGGATATTGTAATCATGTTTCTGCAATAGATTAAAATATTTATACGACTCGATTAACTTCTTTTTTTAGATTATAGGATATGTATGACTTGTTGTTGCCTTTGGCGAAAATATACGAGGATCAATGCATTTAATCAAATTCGCGCAATTCAAACAATCGATTCAAAGGACGCGTGTTTCTTCCAGAAATAATTTCCTCGATGAATAATCAGTGCTTTTTATATCTCATTATCTGAAGTATTTAAAAACCGCGTATTCTTTTAATTTTAACGTGTATGTATATTTACTATTTCAGCTTCACTGCGATCATGTATCGAGTTTCTCTCGACCTCTCAAATGAATTCTACGAACTGAAGACTAAATTACATAACAAATAAGTCCGATTCAAAGGACCGTGCCGCCTTTTAGGAATATCTTCAACGAAAAATCAAGACGGATCTGACGTGTATCCAAGTATATCAAGTGCTCCTCATCTGACATCACTCCAAATCAAGATAAATAAATTCAATTCAAAGGACACGCTTCCTGTGTGATACATCTTTTTCAATGTAAAATCTGGGACGATCAATATGCTACTCGTGCGTTCTCACGTTACTCTAAAAATCTACATGTCGCGCCTCTTTACATGTCGGAGAGATGAGGACAGCGGCGGGGAACGGAAGGACGCGGCGCGCCGACCGAAGACGGGACAGCGTGACGGCTCCTGGCAGGCGTACCGACGCTGCAGACATACGGATAGATAGACAGACGCGTGTAGAACGGCACAGTGACGGCGACGGGTACACGTGCTCGATGCACGTGTTGGGAAGCGCAGATGCTGGAGATGCGCGTCGGCTAATCATAGCTTTTCTCTCTCTCTCTCTCTCTCTTTTTCTCTCTTCCTCTCTTTTTGCCCTGACAACCTGTCTCCTCCGATTTTCTGCCTAGCTGTCCGCAACCGCCACCTTCCGCCTCCTCCTTCTTCATCCTTCTTCTCCTTGTATTACTGACGACGCTGCGTTTGGTACAAGAACACATGTGTGTCGTGATACTTTCTCGGATGGCTAATCTTCTCGGTTACCGAGTGGAAGATGGCTTCAAAGAGCAGTCCGCTTGCTCTCTATGAATCGGTTAGTTGCTTGGCGTGTGTCTTGAGACAGTTTATCGTTTTGCCACGTTTCGTCATCCTTGTGCAAAGAGCCATCGAAAATGATGTTCTCTCAATTTTAATTTGACCTTCTATTTTTGTTTATTATAATTTATTTTCGGTTTTTAATTGCATTTTATATATACATTGTTCATTGTACACAAATAATGATATATCGCTCTTCTCACTTCTAATCATAAATTTAGATTTCTAAAACCGGTAAGTAAATTGTATGGCATAAATGCCTTTATCGATGATAAAAATTGCACGTGAAGTGGCAATGCATTATATGTATATATATCTTATTGGATGATTTGAGAGCATTTTTGAAGGAATGACCAATGACCAATTATCGCCCACGTCATAAATAAAATTGTAATCTAAAGAAGATTAGCTCACATAAGAAGCATTGATTGTACATTATTCGAAATATTATGAATATTATATTGGGATAATTCAGTTTTGTTCGAAAAAATATTCTATAATTTAGCGTATGCTGAAAATAAAAGAAAATAAATGGGAAAAGAAAAATTCAATCATTTTTCTAAACATATTTTCCCGGAAGAGTTCTTTAGATATATACACAAGATTTCTAGACATTTATCGAATCTATGCTAGTTATGAGTAAATTTCTAAAACAAAACATTTATTTTTTTTATTTGATTTTAATTGCAATGTATAAGAAAAAGTTACCTGCACTCTAGCCTCCGACAGAGACACCCTGGTCGCCAATTCCTCGCGAACGAAGGCGTCCGGATAATGCGTCTTCTCAAACACTCTCTCTAACGCGGCCAACTGTTGCGCTGAGAAGGTCGTCCTGCTCCTCCTGGGTCTTCTGTTTCCAGTAGTGGAGGAGGTTTCGCTGCAATCTGCGAAACACAAATATCAATCAGCAATTATCAATGATATTTCGCTATTGATTTTACTTTCGAGATTACTGTAAAGCTTTCTTCCTCGATTATAATTTTGTATAAAAAATTTAGCGACAAACGTCAATTTCCTTTGAGAATTATATATTTTTCGCGCGTGTAAAAATACGCTCTGCGAGAAGAATGCGAAATTATTTCCCGACGATCTGCCCTCATGTCGAAATCCGACGCGAGTCTCGAAGATGCCGCTCGTAATATCGGGGAGTCTATACTGAAAAAAAGGGAGAAAAAAAACATGCGCGCACGCGGGCCGGTTACAGTTGCGGCCATTCTTTGAATGGCTCCACTATACTTGGGCATTCATCAAAGCGGCATAATGCGAGCAGCATGACTAGAAATGCGTGATTTTGATGAAATCAAGTGCGTCGGGAATCGCGGATTAAACGTGTACGGACGCGATGAAATCATCCGCTATGGATACTGTGTGTTCTCATACTAGTTCCAATGCAATGTAAATTATGATAAAGTTCCATCTAATTTGCATAATGTATATGTTATAATGAAATTCTAAAGTAAAAAATAGTAAAATATAGGAAAATGAAAGATAAATTACTTTTATCACATTTATCTTATATAACGATATTATACTAACGGAATATTATAAAAGAAACTATCGTTGAAAATATCTCTCTCAAGAAAATAAGCAAAAAATTGTTCTCAGCAAAGATATTTAAAAATAGCCAAAAATTCTGTCATAAAATACTGAAAAGTGGTCAGACAAAAAAACATTCTGTATACTATATTACAACTTTTATTTTGCCATATCTTATCTTGTGATATGAAATGCTTTTTGGTTTTCACTATCATATTCTCTTTCAATAATTTGAATTGATTTTTTCTCAACCATAATGTCGGCCATGAATTTTCGATAATTAGCGATGGAAAATAAGAAGCTTGCAACTTTTTACTTGCAAGCGAATGAAAAAATCTTGTAAGTCTGAGAAAGTCATTTCAAAAGAAGTTTTAGTTAGAGAAACCTTCAGACTTTGTTATTAAGATGAATGAATTAATAATAATTAATAGATAATTACAATAAGAGCATAAGATGATCAAAACTTATACAATTTTTATTGCTTATACAATTCTTTTTCGTTACGTTATCTAAAAAAAAAATTATTTGGATATTTATATTAATATTAAATAAATAACAATAAAAATATGTGCCGTTTTATAATGGCATAATAATATTTTCGGGTCCTTACCCAAGGATTGCGTAGACGTGGACAGCAGGCGTGAGACCGTGAAATCCTGTGGCGTATGCGAACTCGCAAGCTGCGACACTATCACGCTGTTGTTCGCGCTTTGCTCCGCATCCATCGCGTCTAACATTTTTCTTCTTTTTTCGCACCTTCCCTCATCGGCATGGCAATCAATACGATTTCGTTTACGAGTTCTCGGCTTTTGGCGAGAGACTGTTAATCTTTTAACATTCTCCTCTTGTACCGTATTTATATCTTTAGTCAACGCGCGAACATCGTCCTGATTCTGCGAGATGAAGCCTCACCTGCGAGAGAAGGTATAACTTCGTAAAATATGATATGCACAAATATAATTATATAACTTTTAGATTCTTACACATATTGATAATATAAAATTAAATCTCTTATTATTAATTATTTTTGTTTTCTGTTATTAGAGTAATGAAAATTGCTCTGAACTCTGGTCGAAACGCGATGCAGTCTGAAAAACGAAGTCGCGACCAAATTCGCGGTTTAATTTCACGCGACATGATTATTCAGCCACGATCTCAAAATATCAGCCAGAAACTTAATATTAGCGAGGCTCGGAATTGTAATAGAGAAATTCAAAATATGAGAAGAGTGAGGAGACGAGCCAATTTGCACGAATGCCGGTGTGAATGTGTGCGAGATGAATCTGAGACAGACGTACGTTCCGCAACAGACGTTTGTATCGTTCTATTTTAAATCATATTAAAAGTCAAATATCAGATTTACGATGTAAATATTGTGAAAAGCACGATACGAAGGTCCACGTGCAGGTAAAGTTTAATCTGATATTCTACGAAGACAAATTAATTTTCAAATGATGTGTATAATAATACAATCAATCGCGAGAGATTTTACGTTGGGGAAAAATCTTATCGAGCTCGAAAAAAACATCGCGATATTTTTCTATATTGAGTTCAGTTTCTATTTATTCATTATGCTTTTCTGGGAAGAAAGAGAGAAAAAGTTATGATTATATTATTGATCAATTTCTGATCATATTTTTATTATTTACTGACATATGTTTTTCTGAGAGTCACTAAATTTTTATAAATTCCTCTATAAGCGTATCGTCTGCCTACTGTAATATAAATTAATGTAATTAATCTTGTTAATATGTACATAACAGCACACGCACTTTAATTTATTATAATCTTTAATAATATAATTATCAAACTGCATTAAAAAAGTCAGTTGTATGATTTAATATAATTTTCTGTTCTTTTCTTTTGCTTTATTTTGTTTACGATTTTTGGCAAACCAAAGTTCAACAGTTGTGTTCCTTTTTCTACCTATAAGATACTGTATACGTAAAAAACGTGATGTCAAAATTATATAATTATAAATTATAAAATTATAATAATTGAAATTATGAATTAAGCTTATGTTTCATTGTAACATTCTTTGAGTAAATTGGCTTGTCATTTTTATACTTCCGTTACACATTTACCGTTAAATCTGGTCATTCTATTTATTTCACGTTGACCCTGAATGCAATTCTTGTATCGATTAAAATTTTGAATTGGATGTTCGTATTTAGCACTAACAATAAGTAAGACACATTAAATAGAAATACGTAACACATTCGAAGAAAACAGTAAGTCTATTTATACTTTGACCGAGGCAGAAATTTAGTAATATTGATAATTGATAACGGTTTAGTGCCAAAAGTAGGCAAACTTATTAAAATTAACTTTTACATAAATCTAATAAAATTAGATCTATTTATCTAATACTAAATCGAATTATCTAATTAAATCTAATCAAATCTAATTAATATAAACATTTCTTTCAGTCGCAAGAGATTAATTGTTTAAAATTAAAAAAGAAACAAGTTGTTTAGACTGTTATATGTGTGTTAAACTATTGAATCCTCCCGTAAAAGACTGCATATAACACGTTTCATCGGTTTAACAGACGCGATCGTTAAAAGACAATTATTTACGCCGGCGGCGGGAGAGATACGGGTGCACCCAGCACTCGTTTATGCGTAATTTGTCTCGGGCAATGTTAATTAAAGCATTTCCGAGCTCGAGCGTGACGGTGCAATTAGGGCCACGTGCCAGCGGTCGCAAAGTATGTTCGCCGACTGTTTGAAACTCGTTCATACCTTGGCCGCATATGCAAACGTGATAATTCTCTTTATTTATCTCTCAAAACTTAACAGACTCAACTGTAGATTATCAATGCAAGTGCCATTGATAAACTACAATAATTTAATATCATTTCCATGATGAAATATATTCTTGCAGTTTCCACACGATTTAAAAATAAAAGATATATAACAAAATCCAAAGTTGGCACACACAGTAAAAAATGAAAACAAATAATTTGTGTAATTAGTTATGTAATTAGTTAAAAAAATGCGCTCTTTAATTTAATTATTATTAATATTAGAAGCAAAAGAGAATAAGTATAATAAAGAAAAAAAAACTATAACATTCTTTTTTTGTATAAAATATTTTTATTAAAATATTTTCTTTGCATATTTTTATTAAAATATATATATATATATATATAATCGCAATAATTTATATTAATTCTAAAGTTATTTTTGTCAAAATTTTAATCGCAAGTGTGGTAATTCAGAGATTGAATCATCTGCTTGTAAATTACTCTTAAATAATAGCTCACTTTTATCGCATTTATCGCGGCAATTCCGCATGCATGTTAATATATGTGACCATCAGCTAATTTTCGATTCGTCATACACATCTTAGATACACGTCAGACAAATTTCATCTGTCACGTATATTTCCGCTGCCAAAAAATATATTAATTTCGATATTTATGAGCGCAATCGACGTGCCAAGATCCGCGCACGCATTCCGATTCAATTAAGATTCGTCGTGTGCTTCCGGTCTCTCCTTCGGACTCGCATGACTCAAATTTTTGAGCGCGGATAATAATTAGAATAACGATTTTTCTGATCGAAAAAAATCGATTAATTACATATTGCATGAATATATTTAGAATTTCGATCTTCATTAAGCTTCCTTCTTCGAGAATGATAATTTTTTTTTTTTGCAATTGTATCTTTTGCTTTTTTATTTTTTAACATTAATTGCTAATCAGATAATTAAATTTAATTATACATATTCTTGGAGATAATTACACAAAACAGTACATGTGAATAATGATGTGTATATAAATGTATGTGTGCGATTAAATTTTTCTGTTGAACAATAATTGATTTCTTAAAATCTTATGACTTGTATCTTATGTTAGCCCACTTATGACCTAGCTGAGACAATTCTTTTTTATCGAGTGTCGATTAAGTTCATTAACTCTTAAATTGCGGCATCCGCCAATTGACATTTCATCGCGTGACAACGGTCATGATTTAATCACTTCAGTTTTGTTCACCTCGATTACGAAAATATTATACTATGAGTGTATATATATTTTTTTATATTTTCGCTCACTAATACTTGACGTCAATAAGATAGTTATTACCAATAAAAATGCTATATAAATAAAGAAAAATTAAAAAGAAAAATAACAACATATAAATTTTTGACTTTAATGTATTACATTTTATGTAATATATTAATGTTCAATATTTAATTAAAATATATAATTATGAAAATATATAGCAAAATCTACGTTTAGGGATTTGGGCTTAATTTCGTTTTTATTATTACGAAAGAACACGAGATCTTTCAATCTTTAAATCTTTGATATATAGATGAATTTTTAAATTGGCGGTTATATATAATATTATATATAATATTTTTCTCGCAATTTTTATGGATCAAGTTTGTTAGATATATCGTATATCTCCTAACTTTGAGCGGAAAACTTCCTGACATACCTGAGATCAAACACTTTCGCACACCCTCTTGTTCCGTTCTGTCCAATTTCTATTTCATAAACTAAACTTGGCAAAAGTTCTCCATTCACTTGCAGATTCAAGAAATCGATACACGTGCACACAGTCTGGTTTGCGTTAAGCATAGGTAAAATGTAACTCTGAAGTACATAATTTTTACGTTTGTGTAACACAAGGACGTTAACTAGGCATCGCTGACTGAGATGCTTGATCGCGGGACCGCGCTCGAAAACGAAGGCATCATTTTGCTCGGAGCGGCGAGATGCCAACTGACTTGGCCGAGTTAAGACGTACTTAAAGGTCCTCATCTGCTTCTTCACCTCTATCTCTCTCGCTCTTTCGTCTTCTCATCTCTCGTCTTGCGTTCTCCTCAATCTTCTCCCGGTTCGTGCTGTCGTTCCTCGCGGGCAAGCAGAGGGAAATAGAGCGTTTTAAGAGTAGGTGGAGATTTTCGTCACAAGCTCCACCTTCATTAGAAGCTCATTGGTTTCTAAATGGTTTCTCTCACTACGCAAACTAGGAGTTTCAGAGGCGGAAGGACGTATGTACACGCGCTTTTATTATAAAATGCGTCGCGACGGCGACGCATCCGAGAGCGCGATGAGGCAATCGATTTATTTTTGTCGAAGTTGCTCTAATGCAACATGTTTTCTGCAGGTTTGCATGACGGTTGAATGTAGAGTCCAGAATATCTCTTTTTTTTTTTTTTTTTTAAAGAAAAAATGATGAGAAGAACGTTAAGTTATTTTAATGAAACACTAAAGATCAAAAGTCTAATAATATAATTTGAGTTAAAAATGATTTATAAAGAGATTAAGTTTGGTCGAAGCTCTACAAGAATTTTCTCAGCTATATTGATGGTTTACAATTAATATAAAATTCAAATACATTGTTAGATCTTAGTAAGTCGATCGTCGTTCAATGGAAATTTAATTAACATCCACGGAAGTTTGACATAATGATATAATGAAGAAACGAATAAATTACGTGGATGCTCATCGTTAACGTTATAATGAAAAATTACGCGTTAGCAATGATGTATAGGCGCCGGCATTTCCGTAACGGTTTCCGTTTTCAAGGACATGGTTCCAACAGCAACTTTTATAAACCCCGAACATAGGTCTTCTTCATCTTCTTTCTCCTCTTCAGCTTTCTCCTCGTACTAGCGGCTGGTATCTCGTTACACAGGGGTGTCGTGTATCCTTCACAATGTTCGATATATAACATCGAGTCATTCAAAACGATCCGGAAAGAATAAACGCTGACAATAAGCAGAGGATCTTGTTATCCGTTTTTAGCGATAGCTTCTGCCTCCAATTTATCGTCTTAATTAAGAAATAAATCTTCTTATTTTAAAATTGACATTTTCCTTGAATAAATCATTAAATATTAATAAAGATCTTAGCATAAAAATATTATTAAAAGAGATAATGACATCCGTTTGTGTTTTTTAAATATTTTTTTTAGAACAGAGCTAAAATATCAAAAAGTTATAAATTATTAGAAATCTTTTTGGCAATTTTTCGATTTTTGATTTATATTATAATTTTGTCCATGACTCTCTTAAATATTGTTTAAAATTTGATCAGTGTACATATATTCACGCTTGATCAATACACATAAACGCTTATTTTTCCCATTTAGGATTTACAGTTCAGATATTGAAAAACTGATGTCTCAGGTCAAAAACCGGTACAGTTTTTTTTTCTCACACCAAAAAACCCCGTTCTTTTTATTCTATTTATTCAATGGGTCAATAAAGCAAAAGCTCATAACTTTTTTATAAAAAATCAAGACGGGAAGGCGCACGATTAATGTTGTGACCGCGGAAATGGGTCTAATATAAATATTAGAATCGCAAAAAATGTGTGCTCTTCGGGAAAAAAAAAAAAATGTGAAGCCACCCTTGGATCGTGAAATGGGTAAAGATTACTCGTGATCCCTCTCATAATCTGTCGCTGCACCCCAAACATTATTTACTTAGACTTTGATCCAGTTCTCGATACGAGATCGGTATTAAATATCAAAGTGTAAGTCCTGAGAAGTTTTCTCTCCTCTTCTAGATACACTTCGATCAATATGCCAACTCCGAAATGACTTTTTGAAAGTATAGTCGCGAGTTGAGGTGAGATTGCGCCAGCGGGAGAAACTTTATGGCATAGTAAAAATATTTTTAGGATCTTTTATAGTGTGTAGTGTTTTGAAATCCCTCTTTCCAGAAGCGAAACATTTTCAAGTGGAAAAGATATTAACGGATAAATAGATACACATACATTTATATATCACAATTTATAATTTATTTCCTTAGTGACCGATGTATCTCGATTGTTAACAATCGAAAGAATTTGCCAACTTCGGCGATATGAAGAAGAGCCGCGGAATAAACTCAAGAATTGATCCTCGGCATGATTTTAAGTTGCACATGAGATTGACGCTTTCGATTATAAAATTAGAATGCGCGAACGCGATGCCATCAGGCAAATCACGCGCTGTGAGATGCTCTTCGTAGCGTTTCCTTCGCGGCGTCAAAACGTAGAAAAAGTAGCAAGTGGAGTAGTGATGGTAATTTTACGGCGCAAAACGGTCGAAAGTGCGTTAAAAGCCGGACGACAGAGTGCCGACAGCTGACCGTGCTATAAGCTATAAGGGATGCTGCAAAGTTACGCACTCTTTCTCTCGACATTAATGGCCGAACGAAGAACAGCGACAATTTCAATGTCGAATGTTAATGGGTAATATGTTATAAAATAGCATAATTAAAATTATTTAATAATTAAGAATTAAAAATGAGAACTCGAGCTTCGAGGATTTTATCTTTTTTTAGAAAATTTTTTAGATAAACGTTACCAGAGAAATGGGATTATTATATATTACAAGCATATAATTATTAACAACGTAATAATTTTTAACAACTAAAATGTAATAGTAATTTAATATTGGTATATAACGAAGAATGAGGCGATCAACCATTTGAAAAATGCCGATCAAGCATTCACAAAACTGCGAATCTATCTTTCTTACACCGTGCATGATTTCGGAGTCATCCTACGTAGATGCAAACGACGTTGGTAGAAACACACACGTGGGTACACATGCAATAATTATTTCGCTCCGGGATTTTATTTATATGAGGCTTTTACGAACCCACAGCTTCTCTCGTTATTCCGACTCAATAAAACGTTCGTCGAGCACTTTCGAAAGCTGTTAAAGCCGGATTATTTCGGCGATAATAAACCGCGAAGGGCCTCGCGACCATTGTACAAACCGATTCAATTATAAACGCCACCATTGCTCAGAACAATCTTATTCGTTTTCGACGAAAAAACGAGATTCGTCAGATTTGTAACTTCGCGTCAAAGGAACAGTATTATCTTAAGTTGCATTCACCTTTCGCATTTCCTAACAGATGATTTGACGGATTTGCAGTTTTTGCATTCACAAATATTATTACGTAAATATATAATATCTAAATCTATATAATATTTCTATCTATAAGAGCAAAAATTATTTAAACCAAGAACACTTAAAAGCAATTTTTATAATTTTGTCTGATTTTATATATGACATGAGAATATATTCTTCAATAAAATAACGAATTAACAATATAAGAAATGCCATCGGTTAACATATTTTAAACAATTTTTTATATTTTTATATTGAAGGAGAATTGATTTCATTTCTATCTTCTATACATTTTCAATTTTCTTATTGAACAAAATATTAATATCTTCTTAAGACTCGTGAAAAGAAGCACATATTTTCACGATTAGTAACACTGCACTAGCATTACTCATCTCTATTGAAATCACTATGCGGATTTCTCAATGCGTCAAATCACGCGAGATTCCTTCGAGTGGAATTCTTCCGTTTCGACGTTTCGAGTTATTCGTCGTGTTTTCCCGAAAAAGAGATAAAGCCGCGAGCTTTCTCGCGCTGTTCCAGTCACGGCGAGACGGACGTGCGCGTCGCGACGCCGTGACACGTACACGTCGCGCGTCGCCCGCCGAGAATTATTAGGCGGGCCTGGTGCGCGTTTTCCCGCTACGATGACACCCGTCGTCGTCTGGTACTTTTGTTCTCCCGCAGTTCTCGTTCGTCTTTCCTCCGCCGACAGAGCTACGCGATCGCGATGGGATCGCGAGATCCCCGCAAGAAATCTTGGCGTTTAGTCGCGCACGTTGACTCGGGACGCGCGAGGATATAAACAGGTCATACGGGGACATAAATCTGTCGCAACGTAGAGATTCGTGAGAAATAGACGGATTAAGAGGAGAATTGATAGGAGTTCGCTCTCGGCAAAGTCGAATTCCTCGCATTTTTTTAATGGGGAAAGTAAAAGTGAAGTTTTTTATTACCCTTCTCGCGAAAAAAAAAGATAATTGACATGAAATTTAATTCCTAAAGTAATTTTTGTATTAGAAATTGCAAAATTTTTGTCCATCATCTACGAACAAATCGATCTTAAATTTCTTTGATTTCTTTAATGAATTGATTTCTTCCAGAAATTTTCGCTTTCTTCGAGACTTATTATATTTTGTATATAATTTTTCCATATATCACACAATCAGTTATATTTTATCTTTTTAAATGATGACATAACAATAACTTAACAGTACCTTTTAGCAATTCTTAAAAAAGAATTCCTTGATGCTTTATTTGTGTAAGATTCATTTTTTGTCATGTCACGTGTGTGCTCGAACTGTATTTTGTCGTGGGAAATTTGGATTCGATTTGCGAAGCAAGTGTGCCCGGCTACTTTCGTGTTTTTTCGATCACCGCGACTTCGAGAGCGATTCGAACTGCTAGTCCGTGAGAGGTCTCGGGGCCACGTTGTCGTGGGGGCCTGGTGAATGTCCAACGTTCTGTAACGCGAGAGGAAGGGTCGCGTGAAACCGCATCTGCGGTTTTCGACCACCGTGACGCGACGATCAGTGGGCCTGTAGAATCGTTTCCACATGTGCGGGAGCACGCGGAAACGGCGTTTAAGCTCTTTTCCATAACATTTCCATATCCTTTGGCTGATCATTTTGCCTCCGTCGTCAACTTTCGGTCACCACCTTGCGCCATCCGTCGACGCGTAAAGTCTGTCGAGTTTTATTGCTGTTGCGACTGTTGGCGTATGCATCGAGTGCATATTGCGTCCTAGTTTATGCCATCTCAACCCCTTATTCTTACCGAACGGTCTCAGTCCGATGATAGCGATTTTTAAACTCTTGATAAGACTTTTAAACTCTCAATCGACTTTTTATAAACTGCTTAACACAAGTCCTGAATATTTTAATAAACCTTAATGAACTTCTTAATAAAGATTCTCAACAATTTCTCCGTCGCGATTAAACATGATGGCGCGATGCTAGAAAACGTTACGAATTAACAGAGGCTCCAGACTGACTTATTGTCGCGAGTCTCTTTTCGAATTTGTCTTTCTTTGCAAGCTCGCAAGGGGGATTTCTATGCGTAATACACCGTGACGCCTTAAATTTCGGCCAAGAACGACAAATTCACGGTGTGGAAAGTCGAGGTGACCATCGTGCGGCCACCGTGAAGCCATCGCGTTAAAAAAGATCAAAAGGACAAGGGGGGTCTGAGAGTATACCGACAATGATTTTGATAGGTCACTAACGGTCGACTCGTTGTTGCAATTGCAGTTACACTTTCATGGCGAAGAATAGGCAATTTCCAAATCAAATTTATGCAAATTTAAATTATAAAATTTAATTCGAAATCAAAATAAACTTCTTATAATTTTTTAAAATATGTTTTCCCTCTCATCCTCTCTCTTTGTTTTTTTTCATAATACATTTATTCTCTCTCTCTCTCTCTCTCTCTCTCTCTTCTTATTAAAAAATTATCAATTATATACGCGTAAACGAATTATAGCACAATTTATTTTTCTGAGACTTAAATAAAATATTTTCTTCCCATAAAAAATATACGAATAAATGTGAACCAAAATCTTTTTGAAATATTACGTATATATATTAAATTAAATTTTCAACATTTAACAAAACTTTGATATTATTTATAATTTATGTAGAAGTAAATTATAAAAGTTTTACATTTTTCTCTTAAAGATAAGTATTCAAACAATTTCCATTAAATGACTAAAACGATCCAATGATCGTAAATTGTAAGTAACGAAAGATTACTTTCACATTGCCGTCGCTTGGATAAGCAGAGCGATTTAGCCCGCTCTAAATCTGACGATGAGGAAGGGAAAGGATTCTGCAAGGATCTTTCCAAACGTTCATGACCGCGAACGAACACCGGTTTTAAGAATAAGTCGACCGCAAATACGGTCATTCGCCACCGTGACGCCATCGAATTAAAGCAAGAAGAAAAGAATTCAGTACCGTTGGTAGGGATTTT